AACACTGATTAGCCTGCCCCAATTTTTCCCCTCCCCAAATGCTACAACATGTGAAATGAAAATACACGGGCCATAGCAAGGATGAACATGTATTTATTTTCTGCCCCCTCCTCCACCAGTTTATGTAGAACGGAACCTTTTCATAACATGTCTGCAGACACGAACGTGTGGAGCGGGATGTGATGGTCAGAAGACCAGGTGTCAGGGAGGATTGATGAACTCCGCTCCCAGGCACAGCATACGGGCCGCCTCGGCTATTGCCCCGAGGAGCGGCGGCAGACGGTTCTCCGCCCCTCAGGCTCAGGGGTCATCCGGGTAGGGCACGGTTTCCAGCTGGCCCTCTCTCCTCGCTTCCTCCACCCCGCGCAGCCACTCCGTGCACCTATGCACCAGTTCCTGGTTCACGACCCCTGGTGCCGGATCCTCCTTGTACTCCTCGTCGTCATAGCGGTTCTGTGCGTTCACCAGCGAGATCTTCATTAACGAGGTCAGGTCCATGCCGGCCCGGCTCTGGGAGCCCGGCAGGAGCCCGGTGCTGCCCAAGGGATTGATCCAGCCCCACTGGTTCTCCAGGTGGCGGCGCATCAGCAGCCAGGTCGCCTCAGTCGTGAGGATGATGTTGTACTGTTTCGCGGGGACCTCAGCCTCCGGCTCCGGACTCGCCGCCGCACCTGGGTTCCTGACAGAGCGGCCGCGGGTGCGCGTCGGGCTCGACCTCCGTGGCTGCTGCGGTGGCTGCGGCTGTAGCAGGTGTTGCTGCTGCTGCAGGGAGGCGCAGAGGTGGGAGTTGGGCAAGGGGCCGGTCCCTGCCTGGGGCGCCCCCCGCGGATTCCTCTCCTTCGGTGGCGGTGCTCGACTCTTAGGAGCCACCTGACTCTTTGGCTGTGCACGGGTGGTGGCGGAGCCAGAGGCCGCAGCAGCGGGAGGCTGGATGGGCGGTAGGGGCTTGGCGGTGCTCCGTGACCCCTCTGCTCCGCCCGCTGACTCAGCAGCCACTTTTGCCCGGGGCAGGTGGAACGGATTTTTCTCCGGGTTTGAGATGCGCTCCCACAGGAGAGAGGAGCACTGCTGCAACCGGCGGGGGCCCCGGCTCAATAAGTTCGATAGTCGACGGCAGCAGGGCTGAGCCGGAGGAGTGGGTGTGGGGATGGGAGGAGCGGGTGGCGTGATGAGGGAAGCTCTCACCCTGGAGGGCTGCGACGTCGCCTGAGAGGGCTGTGGCACCACCACACGGGCAGGCTGTGATGTCCCCTGGGATGTCTGTGACGCCACCACCCTGGAGAACTGCGATGCCACCACCGGAGAGGTCCGTGGCGCTTTCACCCGGGAAAACTGCGACGTCCCCTGGGAGGGCTTCTGTGATGATGTCACCCGGGAGGGCTGTTGTGATGTCACCCGGGAGGGCTCTGACATCCTTTGGGAAGACTGCGATGCCACCGCCTGGGAGGGCTGCAACGTCCCCTGTGCCGGAGTCTGAACACCGCTGAAAAAGAAGGGATGGGTTAGATCAGTACTCCAAGGGGAGACAAGTCTGACAGAGCAAGTGATGTCAAAAGATAATCCCGGAAACGTTCACAAGAACAAACTCTACAGGCAGTTTGGGCAAGGCTGGAGTATTTACAGCTCTGAAATATTAGAGGGACTTGTAGTTTACCTGCTAATACTCTGGCACCGACCAGTATTTTCAGCACACTAGGGCACATCCTACTGCTCTTCCACTGCACTCCTTGGCTGTGTCTACATTGGCACCCTTTTCCATAAAAGGGATGCTAATGAGACCAGTCGGAATTGCAAATGCCCCGGGATTTAAATTTTCTCCGCGGCATTTGCATGCACATGGATGTTGCTTTTTTCCAGCTCGGGGCTTTGCCGGAGAAAAGCGCCAGTCTAGACAGGTATCTTGCGGAAAATAAAGCCTTTTTCAGAAGATCCCTTATTCCTGATTTTAAGTAGGAATAGGGTGCCAATGTAGACACAGCCAAGGAGTGCAGTGGAAGAGCAGTAGGATGTGCCCTAGTGTGCTGAAAATACCGGTCGGTGCCAGAGTGTGTCCAGTATTTTTGCTGAAACCATCTGGCAACCCCTAACTCTTACACAGCAGAGCTCTTACACTTGTCATGTCAACTAGGGACCAGGACCAAACCAGATGATCAAAAATTCAGATATTCAGGAGAGTAGGGAAGTGTGAGGCCACAGCGCCATCTAGTGGCCATGGGAGGGTTGCTTGCTGCTGGCCCTGCATGCGCTGGTTATTAGGTCAACATGGAAAGCTGCACAATGGAAGGCTGGAAAAATGGGGCTCTACTGCACCACATCATCTGTAAGGACTCCATCTAATAGGGCACCTCCTATTATACACTCCTGGCAGTGACACACACACACACACACACACACAAACACACACACACACACACACACACACAGATCCTCAACCTCCTTACAGAATCAGGAACTGCTCAGACCCAACCAATGTAGAGAAGCTGAACAATTCCCCAAGCAGATGACACATTCTGGCTCATTTGCTGGGTCTTAAAGAGAACAAAGTCCTGAGTCTTCTCCCTATCACTCTCTCATCCACTCAACACGGCAGGGCAGGAAGCCATGGGAAAAGGGAAGCAAAAGGCACAAATTCCACTGTCCCCTGTGGTAAGCAATAAAAAGCCTAGGTGGGAAAATAAGAGTTCCAATTTTAGTGTTTCCCACAAC